TCTTCAGACCCAATACTTAGAAAAGTGGGTATATGAAATGAGTATGGTTAACATGAAATGTGTATGGTTAACATGAAATGAGTATGGTTAACATGAAATGTGTATGGAATGTTTAGGATGAGAGTACAGTGAAGTATGTTATAGTCTCCCAAATATTGTCATGTGTATGTGCTTTGAAAAACTGAATAAAAATATAAATTAAAAAAAAAATATTGGTGTAGAACGAAGAGTTTAGTCTATAAAACGGTCATCGATACAAATATTCATGTTTTATAATAGGGACCTTTGTCGACGGTACGGGGGTACCGCATCCCTCCCAATTGATTGGTATACGTTGATAACATGCCGATAGTATATATATACACCAGTTAGATCTCCCTTACGTAAACGAGACAACGGTACCCAGGACAGATAGCTGATCAGTTTATCACTGAACTATCAGTAAATTATAAACAATACTATCTCCGTACTGGGTGAAAGTCTCCTTGTATGATTCACACTTGAAGCACACTAACTAGCTTCAATCATTAAAGCATTCTCACTCAGCCTCCGGTTGCAGACACGAGAGTGCGTTTTTCACGCGGGTCTTGTGCGTGCATGTTCCGCTATATTAAAAAGCGCGTGTTTTAGAAATTGAGGCACGTCTACGTTTACCCAGCCACTGAATCAGGCAGACAGTGTGTATAACACGGGACTTTAACTCTCTGACGGTAAGTACAGCACAGCGGGCATATCATACAGATAACAGGCTTTGTAGATCAATGAAATATTTCATTCTAGGAGAACGAATTTATTAGAAAGTACACCGATACATATGTTGTTCATACCGAACTATTACAGCCCGAGAAACAATTTATGAATATGACAAAAGTTTAATTCCTGTGTAAGTTTCTTTTTAATAGTCAAGGATAATTTCGAGTATGTTGGACCGAAGAAAAACTAGGTCAAAATTATTCTCATCCCTCTTTTGGATCCTTGGTTTAGTATAGAGACATCCCCGTTACAATCTATTGTTATAGGGAGTACATCTTTATTATGATCATGTTTATATATATATATATATATATATATATATAATTCTTTAATAAACACGGTTGTGCGTCTAGTTAATTCTAAATCATGTGTATATACATATATTGGTACCTACAATGTCAATCTGATTACTACAATGTATATTTACATACATAGCGTATACATGTACAGACAAACCTACATACACACACCTGTATATACGATTTACCTGTACATGCCATCCTCGAAACTCGCACAGAGAGCGAAAGTGAGCGTATCTCCTGGAGTATCGAGGATGTACATGGTTGTGCATGGGATAGACATATATGCATTTATTTTTACATCAAGAAAGTTTGGAAGCCACAACCCATTTTACCATGTGATCTCCGTTAGTGCATCCATAAGTAGTAGGGAGTGCTAGTATAATTATGTGCGTCATATATATTGTATCCGTGTTCTGATTGTTATGGTTCTGTATTTCCAACGGTCTATTGATAGTCTCAACCACTTGAATACTACGACACAGAAACCACAATACCGTACCGAAACCACAGAAATGCCCTCCACTCTTGGAAGATGAAGATAAATAATAACGTAAAGTGCCTTTCTCAGTTGCACGACCACATCCCGCCATCTACGGGAATCGAACCCACGACCGTGGTCAATAGGCTAGCGTACTAATAACGGAGTTATATATATACCTGAATACATACATAGTGTGCAAGTACCTTTAGATATATAATATACCTGTTATGTACAGCGGGCTGCTATATAGTACAGCGTTTATTGACCCGTATTTATAACGTGTCTGTGGTTTACATATATTTCCCTACTTAAGATGTACGTGACCACTAAACGTAAGAACTAAGGCTGATATTTATCACAAATTTTTATCATTACGTCATTTCATATACACTACATGGATTATAACTACTAAGTGTTGAGATTTCGCGTTAAGATCCGTGTGAATTTTGACTGTAGTACGCCGAAGCGGGTAAAGCTACGTGTTATCGCTGTACCATTATCTTACCTACCTGACAAGCACCGGGTAACAGCCAATCAAAATTCAATATACATCTTATTTGTGTTTACTGAATAGTGGAGATAAATTTATAAACATGACCAAGATAAATACTAACGTCTTATTTCATTTACAATTTTTACTCATATCGACTAAAATATCACGTAGACCAAAATTGTAAATCTGACGTCGACGAGTTTTTCATAGCTGTGACGTCATACCAGTTTTGAAGCGAAAAAAATACTTGCCGAAACAATGGATTTCTAGTTTGCTTTAAAGTCAGATGCGAGCAGCAAGTACAGGAATTTAGAGCCGTTAGAGTGAAGTTAACAGAATTATTTCGATCGTCTTTTTTTTTAAATGTGGTTCCAAATTGGCAATTATAGATATACATATGCTTTTTGTACATGTGGTTACTCTTGCCAAGAGTGTAATTACATAGCGATGTCACGTGGTGATCTGGACGGGATGTTGTAATAGATTGACTAGTGCTGGTCACGCGTTAATTTAAATTGATAAACCTGAAAGTAGGTCTTTTGAAGTGGAAGCCAAAACGTGCAACTGTATGTAGTATACAATGACCAAAGTTCTCTCGCCTGACTATATCGAATGTTGGTGCTGTTCTACACTTGGTTTCCAATAGAACTGCACAACCCCGTCCCCCACGTACTGCATGGGATGATCCTTCCTATTACTTCTGGTTTAGCCTCTTGTTCCCAAGTAAGGGGTTGTGTTCCCTAAATTCTTGGACCGAGGTGTTCTTTGTGCCACTATAAACCTGCCCTCCCATTAGCCGCCATTGCTGTAAAACACTCGCTCAACAATCTACCAGTCTGACATTGTCATAAAACAGAATTCCATCGATACTGATTTTCCACGAAATTCACGGTTGGTAGCAATGTCTAAACCGTTAACAAAGTGTGTAGCCCAGCGAGCTGGTGGGTTCAGGTTCGAATTCTGACGATCGAGACATCTGCCTTTCTTCTCGTGGTACTCGTTGGGCAGTCTCTTATACGTAGCCCTCGTTGGGAAATCTCTATAAGAATGCATCAAGTCGAATACAGCTCTCCATAGTTAGAGTGACCTTCTAACGCTTATAAATCATGTAACGTGCAGAGTGAACGCGCGTGCGTGCAGAACAGACTTATTAACTTTTCATAACAGCGCCAGGGATTTTAAGTGTCACACATGACACCTCTGTGCTCTGGCGTGCACAAATCGTGCATCACTCTAAAAGATTACTGTCATTCACAGAAACATGAGCATGGACACTTCACATATTGCACACAGCGCTGTCTGACGATAAGTGTTCGATTTCACACGTTCCTGCCGCGAGCGCATTTGTACCGTAATAGTTTTGCATGACAATAATTCAATTAATGTATACACACTTGGGCGTCGGTAGTAATATTGCTTAATGTATGCGTTTCTCAATATAGAATAAGTAGGACAAGTAAGAATAATGTGTATCTCATCTTCTATATCATTTTTGTCGGAAGCTAAACATATTCTTTGACCTCTCGGAACCCCATTATAACGTCCAAATTACACATTTTTTCGATCGGACAGAGATGGTCAGAACGTCCTCCATTGGGTCTCTTTGGGAAAATAAGTGGCATCAGGTTGGTCTTTTGGTGTTTTCATGCGATGGCCGACAGAGGAAACTTGTTTTTTGTTTACGAAAACAAATCTCTGGTTATGTATCATTTCGACAATTTTCATTTGCTTAAAATACTTCACAAGTGTGTTTCTCTAATTTGTGATTCTTGAAAATTATCAACAATCCTCAATAAATGAGTGCAACAGTGCAAGACAAGACAGCATACTACAATACATCCAAGAGGATACAAACGTTAAGTAAAAGCATCTTGATTATATAATAAATTGGATAAATCAGACACACCCAGATTTAATAAGGCAAACATCCTGTACTGCTTTAAACTTTCTACAATCCTCTTTTCCTATAGCTCAATAACATCCATTCTATGTGTATTCATTATAAGTGGGCGTGACTTCAATGGTTGAATAGAGAATAGACCGTTCAGTGTAATGAGACAGAGGGGAGATAACTCCAAGAGAAAAAAAACTCTTGGTATTTTTACTTGCACATATTTGACCTTTGACATAAAGGTTAATATATCGGTGACCTAAGTAAATTGTACAGCAAAACTTCTATGGATGATGCAAGTATTGCTCAAGTTTCATAAAAATTATCTCAGTTTATTTAAAGATTTACAGGCCAGGCAAATTTCACTTAAAAGTTTGGCCCCGATCATTTGGGGTTCACCCCTGGGCCCCTCTTTCAATTTGAACCCTACGTAGTTGACCCTGGCTACATCCATGGATATCGCATGGTTTAGTTCATGACTGGCAGAGTAATAATGATTATTTATTCCATATCTATTATTTATTTCACATCGGTTGGCAAACTCTCAAACTAAATCCGAATGTTATTGTATTGATTACCTGAAAACTGTTAAGTTTCAATCATGTGCACAGTGTTCTGAAGTATAGGCCGATGCCTTCAGATCAAAGTAATATGACACCGACCCTTCCTTTTGCTGATTGGCAAAAACAAGAGTTAAAACGAAAACACTGACGTTTACGTCTACGCTCTCAAATCGATAACACAACAAGAAACTGTACGCATTGAAAATAATCAACAACTGTGCCTGCAAAACATGAAATTGATCATGCTGTTTCACTGAAATCGACACCACGCAGTTTTTAAACAATGGCGGCACAGACACAGGTTGCATGCAGGAACATGTGGTTATCATAAAGTTTCGTAAAATACACAGACATGATGTAATACAACAAAATAAAATTATCACAGCAAACACAAGCAACACCGACATCCAAACATTAACATAATTTACAACAAAATTCCCAGGTAAGTTATTCTACCAGAGGAATGTTAAATGAATCCAGATGCAGACACACCATTGGGAGTCACCGCGAAAAGAGAAGGCATTGTGGGATATATTACTACGTCACATGCAAGTTGTTGTTGGCACGACCGTTATCAATACTATGGCAAACCACTAGAGCGTTTACGCCATACAAAAAAATAAAATAAAAAATAAGAATAAGTAAAGACCCCAGTGGTTTAACAGTTTTATTTTGGGTTCTCAATATGGAAAAAAATACTGCTTAAAGTCAGTTGATTTTCTACAGACGGAACCAACAGAAGACTACTTCCGGACGATATTTTAAAATGCTCAATGAAAGTATTTCAAGAGCTTGGCTGATCTGCGCCGTACGCTTTACTAACTCGTGATGGTATAGATCAACGGTCACGCATACTAGTACTAATATTAATACCCGGCCTTTTCTGCCCCATATTATATCTAAAAAATAACGTTGCGTTTGAAACTACGTTATTGCAGCTAGTATATTGCATGATCCATTGCTCCAACAAACTAAACATCATGTTAACTTTAATTGATTAAACACCTAAATACTATATCACGAATGATCAGCGTGTGGAGGTCTTAATGTGGCAGGAAACAGGAGAACCCGGAGAAAGCCGACGTGGTCGACCAGGTGACCCCATACCCTTTCGGTTCCGGACGGGGAATGGTGACAGCCGAGTGCACTGTCCACTGCGCCATTCGACCCAACCAAAATATATCACCAGCTTTTTCCAATGACACTAACCAGATTCCAGTATACATGGGTTATGAAATAAAGTAATTGACACATGACATCATAGGTCAAACGATCTAATTCTGGTCCAAAACTTGTATTTGTGCATACAATGTTGGTTATGTAATTAAGATAAGGGTCAAGGGAAAGGACATGAAAACAAACATTTTTGACACACAAGAAGTGCAGCCCACACAACCACCAGGGTATTACGTTTACGCGCGATTATTTTCCGGCATAGACATGAAGTAGTCATTTGTTTTCTTTTCCTTTCCCAGCCACCGTATGAAGATGATTGGTATGAAACAGGCTCGATTACTGCAAACCAATCAATTATTTCCGGCCAAATGCACATTCTAGATAAATCCTCGTCTGAAATGAAATGCATTCATGAGCATGCAAGATTTGAACATAAAGCTATAATTTCTGGAGTTGCTATAGTTACTATGATTTTCTTTTTTTTCTTTAACAGAACACAATAACAATGACAGATGCAACATGGCAACCCTGGGCAGACAACGTCCTCATCCAGCCCAAAGGAAATGCTGTGTTCCACGCCGCCATATTTGGCCTTGACGGGGCTCTATGGGGCAGGAGTTCGAATGACAATCGGTGCCCGACCCCCCAGGAAGGTGTCGCCCTGGCTTACGTACTCTCCAGTAACGACAAACGAGAAGCGGCCCTTCAGAACGGAGTTCACTACTGTAACTGTAAATTTAATGTGATATTTGCGGAGAATGGTGAGGTTAAAGCAGTGAAGGGAGCGAAGGAACATTGTCCAGCAGAACTCCTGGTGGTCAAGCGATGTAAAATGTGTTTCGTTCTAGCTATAGGGCACGGAGAAAAGCGAGGAGACGTGGTGGACTCTTTATTTAAAACAGCCAATAGTCTCACAGATATTGGCTATTAAGCAACATTGTTATATAAACATGACGTCATTAAAAAAGAGTGTATGAATGTTTACCACCCTGTCCACAGAACTGTTGATACACGCGAGGGATGTTGAGTCATTTGTGAGCAATTGCTGCGATACGTTGTGTAAGGAATGATTGACAGGTCGTCGGGAAATTGACATCTTCCCGTGTAACATTGAATGGCTAGTTAATAAACAACCGTTGACGAGGCTTTAACTGACAACAACTGTCTGAAGTTGTGCTGTATATCGAGGGAGTACATTTGACGGAATTGCAATCGGTGACCAACGCACGTTCAGAAAAGACAATAATATACTTCTTCGTGGAGTTATAAATAGAAACATAATTTGAACATATTTTTATGTTCCGTTCCATTTACATTGAACTAACTTGGGTTGTAGTATTACTTAACATGGAACATGCTTAAACCGCCTTCATCTACATATGTGCGTTAAATTATAATGCCACGTTATTTTTATCGTTCTCGTAACTTATCTATGGTGCTTAAATGATGTTTATATGTGCTTGCTAATATATTTTGTCAAATTAAAATGAGGTATTTATAATTCAAACAATATATTTTCGTCAAATTCAATTCTAGGAATGTTTACTCCTTTTTATCCCCCGCTTTCACCGAAACGGGGGATATTAATTTGGGTCTGTCTGTCTGTCTGCCACGCTTCGTTTCCGTGCAATAACTACAAAAAATATTAACCGATTTTCTTCAAACTTGGTCACAGGGTTAAATGCCTTAATGGCTCGGCCAAGTTTGATGACCACTTTCAGCGGACCCCATTTGGCGGAGTTATGGCCCCTTGAATAACGAAAAACGTAATTATCTGCTGGGTTTTGTTTCTGTGCAATAACTATAGCAAATGTTAACCGATTTTCTTCAAACTTGGTTCGATTTTGATGAAAATTGGTATATAGGGATATTAGGGGACTGCGAATTCAATCGCATCGGTTTTGTTGCCAAAGCTACCACATGGAGGTTTCTGATTGGTCGAAATTTAGATATTGTTAGATTTTGATGAAAAATTGTATATAGGGATATTAGGGGACTGCGAATAAAACCGCATTAGTTTCGTTACCATAGCATCCACACGGATGCTTCTGATTGGTCGAAATTTAGATATTTGTTCGATTTTGATAAAAATTGGTATATAGGGATATTAGGGGACTGCTAATTCAACCGCATAGGTTTCGTTGCCAAAGCAATCACACAAAGGCTTCTGATTGGCCTACCTCTAGTAACTCAAGTTTCCACTCTGACTACACACACCTAGTAACTTGAAATCAACCTTTAACTAGAAACCCTGCCGTCAACCTAACAACCTATCCATACTAACCCTGATATCCACCATACAACCTACCCCTTGTAACCCTTATATCCCCCTTATAACATACCCCTAGAAACCCCTATGTCAACCCTTACATTCTTCCCATTTTAACACTGTTGTCCACTTTACAAAAAAAACCTAGTAACCCTAATATCGACCCTTACAACTTTTACCTAATAACCCTGATGTCAACCTAACAACCCATCCAAAAATAACCCTAATATCCATCCAACCTACCTCTTGTAACCTTTATATTAACTCTTACAATCTACCCGTTATAACCCTGATATCTAACTTTGTAACCTATCCCTAATAATCCCTATGTCCACCATAACAAACTACCCTATGTAATACTGATATCCATCCTAACAGCCTATCTCGAGTAACCCTGATATCAACCTCATAACCAACCATTTGTAACCCTTATATCCATCCTTAAAAGCTACCCACAGTTATCCTGTCGTCAACCTCATCCTATCCACAATAAAACTGATATTCCCCCTGGAAATCTTACCCAAGCATCCCTAATTTCTACAACCTACGCCTTTTATTCCAGAAATCCATCTTACAAGAAATTCCAAATAACTCTTATATGTACCATTACGTCCTACACCTAGTAACCCCGATGTCTACCTTGCAACCTTCCCATAGTAACCCTGATGTCCACCCTTACAACCAACCCATAGTAACCCTGATGTCCACCCTTACAACCTTCCCCTAGTAACCCTGATGTCAACCCTTACAACCTTCCCCCAGTAACCCTGATGTCCACTCTAACAACCTATCCGTTGTAAACCTGATGTCCACCCTAACAACCTACCCCTAGTAACCCTGATGTCCACCCTTGCAACCTTCCCCTAGTAACCCTTATGGCCACCCTTACAACCTTCCCCTAGTTACCCTGATGTCCACCCTTACAACCTTCCCCTAGTAACCCCGATGTCCATCCAAACAACCTTCCCCTAGTAACCCTGATGTCCACCCTTACAACCTTCCCCTAGTAACCCTGATGTCCACCCTAACAACCTACCCGTTATAAACCTGATGTCCACCCTAACAACCTACCCCTAGTAACCCTTATGTCCACCCTTACAACCTTCCCCTAGTAACCCTGATGTCCACCCTTACAACCTTCCCCTAGTAACCCTGATGTCCACCGTTACAATATTCCCCTAGTAACCCAGATGTCCACCTTTTCAACCTTCCGCTAGTAACCCTGATGTCCACCCTTACAACCTACCACTAGTAACCCTGATGTCCACCCTTGCAACCTTCTCCTAGTAACCCTTATGACCACCATTACAACCTTCCCCTAGTAACCCTGATGTCCACCCTTACAACCTTCCCCTAGTAACCCTGATGTCCACCCTTACAACCTACCCCTAGTAACCCTGATGTCCACCCTTGCAACCTACCCCTATTAACCCTGATGTCCACCCCTACATCCTACCCCTAGCAACCCTGATGTCCACCCTTACAACCTTCCCCTAGTAACCCCGATGCCCATCCAAACAACCTTCCCCTAGTAACCCTGATGTCCACCCTTACAACCTTCCCCTAGTAACCCTCATGTCCACCCTAACAACCTACCCGTTGTAAACCTGATGTCCACCCTAACAACCTACCCCTAGTAGCCCTGATGTCCACCCTTACAACCTTCCCCTAGTAACCCTGATGTCCACCCTAACAACCTTCCCCTAGTAACCCTTATGTCCACCCTTACAACCTGCCCCTAGTAACCCCGATGCCCATCCAAACAAACTTCCCCTAGTAACCCTGATACCCCCCCTTACAACCTACCCCTAGTACCCCTGATGTCCACCCGTACAACCTACTCCTAGTAATCCTGATGTCCACCCTAACACCCTACCCGTTGTAACCCTGATGTCCACCCTCACAGCCTACCCCTAGTAACTCTGATATCCACCCTTGCAACCTACCCCTATTAACCCTGATGTCCACCCCTACATCCTACCCCTAGCAACCCTGATGTCCACCCTTGCAACCTTCCCCTAGTAACCCTTATGGCCACCCTTACAACCTTCCCCTAGTAACCATGCTGTCCACCCTTACAACCTTCCCCTAGTAACCCTGATGTCCACCCTTACAGCCTACCCCTAGTAACCCTGATATCCACCCTTGCAACCTACTCCTAGTAACCCTGATGTCCATCCTTACAACCTACTCCTAGTAACCCTGATGTCCACCCTTACAACCTACCCCTAGTAACCCTGATGTCCACCCTTACAACCTACTCCTAGTAACCCTGATGTCCACCCTTACAACCTACTCTTAGTAACCCTGATGTCCACCCTTACAACCTACCCCTAGTAACCCTGATGTCCACCCTAACAACGTATCCCTATCAACCCTGATGTCCACCCTTACAACCTACTCCTAGTAACCATGAAGCCCACCCTTACAACCTCCCCCTAGTAACCCCGATGTCCATCCGAACAACCTTCCCCTAGTAAACCTGACGTCCACCCTTACAACCTCCCCCGAGTAACCCTGATGTCCACCCCTAGTTACCCTGATATCCACCCTTACAACCTACCCCCAGTAACCCCGATGTCCCCCCTTACAACCTACTCCTAGTGAACCTGAAGTCTACCCTTATAACCTTCCCCTAGTAACCCCGATGTCCATCCAAACAACCTTCCCCTAGTAATCCTGATGTCCACCCTTACAACCTACCCTTAGTAACCCTGATGTCCACCCTAACAACCTATCCCTATCAACCCTGATGTCCACCCTTAAAACCTACTCCTAGTAACCCTGATGTCCACCCTTACTTCCTACCCAAAGTAACACTGAAGTCCACTCTTACAACCTTCCCCTAGTAACCCTGATGTCCATCCTAACAACCTACCCCTAGTAACCCTGATGTCCACCCTAACAACCTACTCCTAGTAACTCTTACAACCTTTCTGTAGGGACCTACAAAATAACTTTAAGTAGTCTTGTTGTCAATCCTTACAACCATATTTTTCTTCCGACTGCGTCTTGTTATTGTGATGTTAGGCCTGACCCCTTACACGGAGGTACCAAGACATTACCTTAATAACCTACCACCCAACCCTGATGTTATTCTTAACAATAAATACATAGTATTCCTGATAAACAAATCATCACAATTTTTAATAAGAAAGTCAAATTAGACTTAATGATTTTTTAAATTGATGTTCTGGAAAAAATATATCGAAATACTCTATCCGCCCCCTTATTCCAACTACCAAAACATGGAATTTGGAATTCGAATAAACATTCCGTTGACCTTAATTTTTTAATCCACCTTTATTGTCATCACATGTATATTTGTTAAATAGAAAATGAAATGAAATAATGGACACATGCTATTTTTAGATATAGCTGGTCTCCATTTGACCAAATCAATGATAAAGGGATACAAATTCATCATTTATATCCGCAAACACTGCATTCCATTTTATGATTACAGGAAATTAAGCCAGATGAATAGAATAAGGAAACTCTTGATACCTACATTAGTAACATGAACGGAGAAATTCAACAACAAAACTATTTACGTTAATTAATGAATAGAATTATTAAACTTTTCTTAAAATTTCTAATTCTTATTATGGCTTTAATTTAATTTCCTCCTTTTTTCTGTTCGTCAATTTCTAAATCAAGCAAAAATGCGCCTGCATAATGTAAACATCTACCATGGAAGCACCATGATCTATAAGAAAACCTATCGGGACCAGGAAAATGTTTCTTAAAAAAAATCCAATTGTAATAAATTGGAAAATGTTTAAACAGGCTAGGAATTTTGGTATTGGTGCGGTAAGGAACGGTGAAGCTGCTTATATGCTGCTAAACTGATAGAAAATATTACGCATATATACCCACGTCATAATGTGAGTGGTGGAAATTGGTTAACACGTTTACAGGTTTATCAAAGAAAAATACCGTTATTACAGCTGTATCGTCCAATATACCTACAGATACCAGGGGGATTGAGAAAAAATCTCAACTTTATCTAACGATTATTTTATTGGGCGGTCTTCTTTTGAAGATTCTTATATCTAGATTTACGTAAATACAAGTAGATAACAGTCTTTATTCACTTATCATAATGGTGCTGCAAGTGTGTGTCAATTCTAAACCAAAAGAATCTAGACAGGTCCCCTAAAAGAAGCTGAAACTGAAATTGTAATACGTGTTTATAAATCCCTGGAAACCAGGGGCCTGCTCGTTTATGCGGAACAACCGGTACGTCCGTTTGAAATGTAACATTTTCGGGTATACATCCTGGCGGACCTGCAGAATGTTATGCAGGCCTTGCAGGGCTTGGTCAAGGCTCGCCTGAAAGCACCATAAGATTACTGGGTCCGACCTTATTTAATAAACGAACAACTCTGGTCCAACCGGTTCAACCGTTTGTACCGCGATAAACGAAAACGGCCCTGGACTGATCGTGCGCTGTTTATTACACGGCAAATGTTACACCTGTTATTAAGAATAATAATGAAAACCATTTTAGTTGTTACCAAATATACATCAATATTCATTAATGAGTATTATCATATTTTCAAAACACAAACGCAAGAGTAACTCAAGGATCAGTCCTTGGTCCACTTCTCTGTGTAATTTGTATTTATAATAAAATAACTACCCTTTTATAAAACCGTTTGTTGATGATCAAAGTCAAGCTTTTCATTCTTTTAATAATGATTTTTTTACAATAAAATCCTGGCTAGGTGGCAAGCGGTTTGTAAAGGATAATCCAGACAAACCCAAATCAATAATATTATCATGAAAAATATCAAAACACAATTCCGTGTACCAACCTGCCGTGATGAATTTAAACGGTACTTAGCACATATACAGTCTCGTAGAGTATCTGTAATGGCGTCTTTTCAGACCAGACGGTTTTTTATTCATCCGACCCAAAATAAGAATACGCAAATGTTGTTTGAGATAACATATCAAACTATTTGAATAAATAAAAAAAGGAGAAAAAATCCATGTTGAACCACTAAAATCGTTTCAGGTGCGAAAACATTGGTTACTGATTAACTGTGTAAAGATGATGGCTGTGATCGATTCGTGAAGCGACACACAAATCATAAACTCGTTCTTTTTAATGGAAAAACGTCAGGTTATTTGTCAAATACGATGCTGCCTTGGTCAAGTTTTGATATCCGATTAAATACCGGTTGTAAAAGCTGTAAAACGTAGTTTTTAAATCACATTTTTGAACGTTCAATCATACTTCGGAACGTCTTATCGTTCAATATTCAAAACATTGTACCAATTTAATTGTAACGGCAGTTATCGTGACACTATAGATACACGGTAGCGTCAAATGTATGCATGAAAATAATCTTCTGATTGCTAAAATGAAAAGCTGAGGAGTTAAACATCTTAAATTCATTATATATTTTTAACAGCCGATTAAAAATCATATTAAAACATGTCATTCAGTCATAGAAATGTGATAAAAAGAACATGTACGGACTCGATAAATTAAACAACTGTTGTGACGTCGGCAATTTGACGATGTCACAAATTACACTTTATTGTTCTGAGTGCGAAAATAACACATTGCCAATACAGCTCAGTATACAGTGATCGTGCTGCACCAGCAAGCCGGATAATCTAGTACAATTGTTTTTGTATTAGTTGGATTATTTATAAGTAAAACTGAGATAGTTTGTGTATATTAAGGTCATTTGTTATCAGTAGTGTATGTTGTATTAAAACATTGTCTCATATGTAATATGTTATTTTATCAAAAGGTAATTTCTACTCTGACTTGATTATCACTGCAATAATTGAATAAAACGATGTGATGAAGCTTTGATGATGGCATTCAGTTACTTTGTTATAAATTACAAAATGATAAGATATCAGAAAGAAATGAAAACTCCCATTAATCAAACGTGAAAAAGACGCACGTTCCATACAGGAAAGCAACGTGATCCTACACTTCATCAAAATATAAAGGAAGGCAGCATGATATACTTGTAAACCACATCGAAACTGAAGACAGCATGATATATTTGTACACCAAATCGAAAAGGAGGGCAACATGATATACTTGACGTTGTATACCAAATAAAAAAGGAAGACAGCATGATATACTTGTACTCTAAATCGAAAAGGAATGCAACATAATATATGTGTACATCAAATCGAAAATCCTTACAACATGACTATGTACTCTAAATCGAAAATGAAGACAACATGATAAACTTGTACACCAAATCGAAAAGGAGGGCAACATGATATACTTGACGTTGTATACCAAATAAAAAAGGAAGACAGCATGATATACTTGTACTCTAAATCGAAATGAAGACATCATGATAAACTTGTACACCAAATCGAAAAGGAGGGCAACATGATATACTTGTACACCAAATAAAAAAGGAAGACAGCATGATATACTTGTACTCTAAATCGAAAATGAAGACAACATGATAAACTTGTACACCAAATCGAAAAGGAGAGCAACATGATATATTTGTACAACAAATAAAAAAGAAAGACAGCATGATATACCTGTACTCTAAATCGAAATGAAGACAACATGATATACTTGTACACCAAATCGAAATGGAAGGCAACATGATATACTTGTACACCAAATCGAAAAGGAATGCAACATGATATATTTGTATACCAAATCGAAAATAAAAACAACATGACTATGTACTCTAAATCGAAAATGGAGACAACATGATAAATTTGTACACCAAATCGAAATGAAGACAACATGATATACGTGTACACCAAATCGAAATGGAAGGCAACATGGTATACTTGTACACCAAATCGAAAATAAAAACAACATGACTATGTACTGTAAATCGAAAATGAAGACAACATGATAAACTTGTACACCAAATCGAAAAGGAGGGCAACATGATATACTTGTACACCAAATAAAAAAGGTAGACAGCATGATATGCTTGTACTCTAAATCGAAAAGGAATGCAGCATGATATATTTGTATACCAAATCGAAAATAAAAACAACATGACTATGTACTCTAAATCGAAAATGAAGACATCATGATATACTTGTACACCAAATCGAAAAGGAAGACAACATGATATACTTGTACTCTAAATCGAAAAGGAAGACAACATGATAAACTTGTACTCTAAATTGAAAAGGAAGGCAACATGATAAACGTGTACACCAAATCGAAATGAAAGACAGCAAAATATACTTGTACACCAAATCGAAAAGGAAGGCAACATGATATACTTGTACACCAAATAAAAAAGGAAGACAGTATGATAAACTTGTACACCAAATAAAAAAGGAAGACAGCATGATAAACTTGTACTCTAAATCGAAAAAGAAGGCAACACGATAAACTTGTACACCAAATAAAAAAGGAGGACAGCATGATAAACTTGTACACGAAATAAAAAAGGAAGACAGCATGGTAAACTTGTACTCTAAATCGAACAGGAGGGCAACATGATATACTTGTACACGAAATAAAAAAGGAAGGCAACATGATAAACTTGTACTCTATATCGAAAAGGAAGGCAACATGATGAACTTGTACACCAAATCGAAATGGAAGACAACATGATATACTTGTACTCTAAATCAAAAAGAAAGGCAACATGATTAACTTGCGCTCTAAATCGAAAAGGAAGGCAACATGACAAACTTGTACACCAAATCGAAATAGAAGACAACATGATATACTTGTACACTAAATCGAAAAGGAAGGCAACATGATAAACTTGTACTCTAAATCGGAAAGGAAGGCAACAAGATAAACTTGTACTCTAAATCGAAAAGGAAGGCAACATGATAAACTTGTACTCTCAATCGAAAAGGAAGGCAACATGACAAACTTGTACACCAAATCGAAATAGAAGACAACATGATATACTTGTACACCAAATCGAAAAGAAGGGACCCTTAAAAACTTGTACTCTAAATCGGAAAGGAAGGCAACAAGATAAACTTGTACTCTAAATCGAAAAGGAAGGCAACATGATAAACTTGTACTCTAAATCGAAAAGGAGGGCAACATGATATACTTGTACACCAAATAAAAAAGGAAGACAGCATGATAAAACGTGTACTCTGAATCGAAAAGGAAGACAACATGATAAACTTAATTGTACACCAAATCGAAATGGAAGAAACCTGATATACTTGTACACCAAATCGAAAAGGAAGGCAACATGATAAACTTGTACTCTAAATCGGAAAGGAAGGCAACATGACAAACTTGTACTCTAAATCGAAAAGGAAGGCAACATGATATACTTGTACACAAAAACAAAAATGAAAGCAACATGCGTTGTAAGTGTGCACACAACGATAAGGAAAGCTCTCGATAAACTTGTACACCAAAACAAAAAGGAATGCAACATAATATAATTGTACACCAAAATAAAAATAAAAGTAGCATATAATATATATTTGCACACCAAAATATAAAGAAATGTAGCGTGATCTACTTACTGTACGGTCAACAAATACTGGAACACGGTCCTATAGTGTACATAACACACACAAGGAAGACAGCATGATGTACTGTATACCAACAAATAAATACAAGAATGCAGCATTATCCTTGTGTAAACCGAAACCTAGAAGAAGGCTATTAGCAGAAATCGAGCTATCGTGTGATTTAGGGTTTACTTAGTGCAACAATAGCTAACAAGGACCCGGGAATTTGTTACAGTTGAGCTATATTTTGATATACACCGAGATGTATTATGCCCTTCCCATTTTCCATTATCATCACAGGGGATAACAGTTTTACCGAAAGTTGATTTAAACCCCTAAAACCTGTAATATCACTTTGAACACATCACGGTTTCTGTCCAAATACAGCTGTAATTCAACAAATTCTCATATCCGTGTTTTTTTTTAAATATATTTTACATGAGTTACAGTAGATATAACGACGGACTAAACCGTGATAACTGACACATAAAATTTAATAAAAAAAATAATTTCCTGTATGTTTTTTTTTTATCCAACAGGGATTAATAAAAATGTCACGCTACACATTTTTGTTTATTAACCGCAGATCCGGTATTTACATATATATTGGCTTTAAATTTAGATATATCTCGCTTACGTTCTGAAAAAAAATGTAATAACAATCATTATATTGAATTGACCAGTACTAATACTTTTGCATTCTAATGATAAAATAAATAATAATGACCCGTTATACAGTATATGGGTTAAGTAAATTAACGTTTCAAAATTATTTTATTTATATTGAAAGTAGGTCGCTTACATCACCCAAGAAAGAAGGCGGAACGAAAACATAGAAGTTACAGTAAAGAATATTCGTCGACTATCTTCCTTAAAACAGGGTTGCCATGGCAACTGCGGACTGGAATCCGCTTGGTGATGTTTACTTCAAGTAAATAACATCTTGCTTTCATTCATATACTATACTGAACGATGCAGCCATGACCTAAATATATACCAGACTAGCTAGATCACATGGTCAAACAGACACCGGTTGTCTGATTATCTTTTCATTTAATGTCATAAAGGCATGTATATCAGTACATCCAAATTAAACATAAAATAGGCAAAGATGGTATTGCCTTTTAAAAGTATCATGCGTTCGAAAGTTCTTAATCTTAAATTAATCCTGTATGGCGTACCTATATGTATAGCTTTCTTGCTTTGGTAAACTCTAGCTTGAGTTTCCTGTCGCCCTGACACCAGACTTAGATATTTTGAGTGCCTGAGATCTATCTGCTATGCTTATATTTGATTTAAAACCAGATGAGATAGTCTAGCAATTTGTTTGTATTTTCCCTATCAGCTCAGTATACCTAACAATTTGGTCAATTAAATCAGTCGTTGCACATCTGTAGTGGGACTGAGCCTGGTGACTGCCGGTGACCAGGTAGTTCAATTCTTTCTATCGAGGATATATCTAGAGGTTGGGAGTCCAAGCCTTGCCCATTACATTTTCTCCTCTTCTGTTATAAAGGAGGGAGGTATGTAGAGGGACTTGGCTGGGTGCATGTGACTGCCAGTCAGACCAAGTGCATTATGTATCTCCCGGATCTATAGAACTGTCATATGAGACGCAAAATATTGTTTAAAAAACCCAACAGTATCGAAAGAATATGTTAGGTGCTCATTAGTAATACCCATATTAATCTTTACTTCTCACATCTATTTACAGAAAAAATGAGCTGTATGCCATGGGATGGAGTGACATGATTGATCTTGATAAATTTACAGTGGCAGCAGCCCCATATGGAGGTCCAATAGGTATGTACATGTCCTTAAGTACTGTGTTGATGGGGTGTTTAGGATATACTGTGTAGTCTTGAATGATGCATGACCCTGTGTTGATGGAGGGTGCAGACAGGAAAAACAAAAAATAACAAACCTAGATTATCAATCTGTATTCAATAATGTGTATCCAGGAATGAAAAAAAAAAAAAAAAAATTGAGTGTAACAGATCATGACTGGGTTACTTATCACAGGGGTACTCAAGTTATATTATAAGATCATCAGTATTTTTTCAATATTTTACTTTGGCTTAATAGATTTACAAAAATATTACTTGATAGAAAAGGAATACTCATATAAGTCCCAGGTCTATTTTCCAATGAGTTTATTATACTTTTATGTTTCAGCTCTGTACCGAGATGATTCCAAGACGGCCCGAGTCCAAGTTTCCACAAAACCTATCATTACAGTGTTTACTGCAGCCGGTAACCAAATCAGTCAGATGAGGGTAGGTACCAGTACTGTTAACCATTGTTCATTTTATGAAAAAAAATATTTTCACATTTATTTAATTTATGAATCTTGAACGTTTTTCTTTTCCTATCCAAAGTAGTTGACTGAAGATGCTTTTATTCTTTGGTTTGTTGATGTAGTGAGATTGAAGGGGTTGCCATGAAAACATGTGATATTTCTAATTTTGTAGATGAATGTTTCATGTGACTATCACTAATGGTATGTTGTAGTGGAGCAGTGGTCAAGTGGTCAAGATGGGATGGTCAAACACAGAGGATCTGCTGTGTGTCCAGGACGATGGCATGGTTCTCTCCTACGACATGTTCCTCAACTTCAAACGCATGTTTGGCATGGGTCAGGTCAGTCACTTTAACCATGGCACAGCTTAGACATTTTTACAACAAAATAATGGCTATATAGTGGTCAATCAGTTCCCTGTACAAAGTGGTTTATAGTGATCAGTGATGTTTGTTGTCAATACAAAAGCAATTATAGTGGTAATTATTTGTTGTATGTGGCTTATGGTGGTCATTGTGGTAAATATGTTTGTAAAATAATATGAGTTAATCAAAAATATTTTGCATTGCTGGCAGAGTTTCACTATCTGACATTGTTTGATAGGAAGCCAAGGACGTGAAGGTGTTGGACTGTGAGATATTTAACAGTTTCCAGGGTACAGGGATAGCTGTACTAACCAGTACCTACCGTATCTTCATAATCAACAGCGTAGACGACCCCAGGATACGGAGGCTGGCCGAGGTTCCAGGTACACCCACTAATAATTGTTCTTTATATGTAAACAGTTGACTCTTTTTAAGATATTTTCAGCAATGTTTCAATGGGTATCACTAGCAGGGTTGTTATAACCCCTGCAAACAAAGTTTGGGGGTATGTAGGAATAACCCTGTCCGTCTATCTGTCCATCTGTCCGCCGACTGTCCATGATCCTTGTAAGCGCAACTCCTCCTAAACCGTGTGTTGGATATTTTTGTAACTTTGCACAGTAAAACTACATCATATGCAGATGTGCATGAAGAAAGGAATTTGTGATTTGACTATTTTCCCTGGAGTTATGGCCCTTGAAACTTTAGGTTCTAGTTCTAGAAACCTTGTAAGGGCAAGTGGGGTATATCTTTGTGAGCTTGCTCACAGTTTCTCTAGTTAAATCAGTGTTCAAATTGTCTCCATCACTATTACCTTGTAAGGGCAAGTGGGGTATATCTTTGTGAGCTCGCTCACAGTTTCTCTAGTTAAATCAGTGTTCAAATTGTCTCCATCACTATTACACGAATACTAACATAATTGAGAGGGGCCAATGTAGTGGAAATATATGTCTTATGGATATCAATATTACTGCTTGCTGTGAACCCAACTTTTAGATTAGCTATTTCTAACACTTTCATTATTACTAGTGCAGTTATACTTTGATATGTTGTTAGCTTGGACATTTTGAATCTCTCATTTATCTATATATATTTTTGTTTACTTGACTGTCAATTGCCACGATCCTGTCATATATCTCAAAAGTGTTATTATTTTTAAATATAACACATATCCTAGTATCACAAAATCTAATTAATTGTTATCAATGCTGAAACAAGATATTGAGACCAAATGCTTCTTTGAATGAATTTGTTTTGAAAGTGTTGACCATGAAGGTGAAAAATTGAAAAGGTGAAAATATTTAAGTTTGTATATATGGTCAGTTATAAAATAAACTGATGTCATATTTATTCACTTTGTGGTCTCCAGTAAGCTTCTAGTATGTAAGATTAAATATAAAAGGAAACTTGTGTCTGCTTTGTAGGTTTACAGTCAGCACCTAGTAGCTGGGCAGTGCTAAACCTTGACCGACAGTCCCGAGCATTGGTTGCCAAGGGCAACGAGCTGTTTCTGATTGACCATGGAGGTCAATATCAAAACCAGGTAGGTACACATAGAGAGGTCAGCTCAGTGGTCACTCTGAAGTCAATGTAGCATTGTCAAGAATGACTTGCCTTTATATTCTGACATTCTGTCTAATCTGACCAATAAAATGTGTCTCACAGGGTTTCTGATTAGAAGGGTTTCATTTTACATATTGTGGAGAAGACAATTTGGAATATCTTTGTTTTCTTTACTGATTGTATTAAATGTAAATTGTTGAAGATTATTTGTTAAGATGTAGCAAATGTCATAAATACGTTCCATTTTCTTTAAAATTAACAGAAAATACATGTCACATTTAATGCTGATTCTTGATGGTTGCAGACACCACAAACAAACACCGAAGTAAAAGAATACATAAAGATGGCACTGTCCTTCAATAACAAGTTTCTGGCTCTGTACACAGACAGCGGCGTCATCCTCATCTGTTCCTCAGATTTACAGGTATGATGTCCTCTTGATCTCGTCCTCTAGTGTAAGGATAGATAACCTGTCACTTTCATCTGTCTTCTTGATCTACCATGTCTCCCTTGCCTGTTCCTCTGATCTATAGACGTATACAGGGGATGATGATTCGTTAAGTCTGTTCCCCTAATGAACAGAGGTATACAGGGGACGATGATTCGTTAAGTCTGTTCTCCTAATGAACAGAGGTATACAGGGGACTATGATTGGTTAAGCCTGTTCCCCTAATGACCAGAGGTATATAGAGTATGATGATTCGTTAAGACTGTTCCCCTAATGACCAGAGGTATATAGAGGATGATGATTCGTTAAGTCTGTTCCCCTAATGAACAGAGGTATATAGAGGATGATGATTCGTTAAGTCTGTTCTCCTAATGAACAGAGGTATACAGGGGACGATGATTGGTTAAGCCTGTTCCCCTAATGAACAGAGGTATACAGGGGACGATGATTGGTTAAGTCTGTTCCCCTAATGAACAGAGGTATATAGGTGACAATGATTCGTTAAGTCTGTTCCCCTAATGAACAGATGTATATAGAGGATGATGATTCGTTAAGTCTGTTCTCCTAATGAACAGAGGTATACAGGGGACGATGATTCATAAGTCTGTTCCCCTAAAGAACAGAGGGATATAGAGGACGATGATTCGTTAAGTCTGTTCTCCTAATGAACAGATGTATACAGGGGACGATGATTGGTTAAGCCTGTTCCGCTAATGAACAGAGGTATATAGAGGATGATGATACGTTAAGTCTGTTCCCCTAATGAACAGAGGTATACCGGGGATGATGATTCGTTAAGTCTGTTCCCCTAAAGAACAGAGGGATATAGAGGACGATGATTCGTTAAGTCTGTTCTCCTAATGAACAGATGTATACAGGGGACGATGATTGGTTAAGCCTGTTCCGCTAATGAACAGAGGTATATAGAGGATGATGATTCCTTAAGTCTGTTCCCCTAATGAACAGAGGTATACCGGCGATGATGATTCGTTAAGTCTGTTCCCCTAATAGACAGAGGTATATAGAGGATGATGATTCGTTAAGTCTGTTTCCCTAATGAACAGAGGTATATAGAGGATGATAATTCGTTAAGTCTGTTCCCCTAATGAACAGAGGAATATAGAGGACGATGATTCGTTAAGACTGTTCCCCTAATGAACGGAGGTATATAGAGGACGATGATTCGTTAAGTCTGTTGCCCTAATGAACAGAGGTATATAGGGGATGATGATTCGTTAAGACTGTTCCCCTAATGAACAGAGGTATATAGGGGACATTGATTCGTTAAGTCTGTTCCCCTAATGAACAGAGGGATATAGAGGATGATGATTCGTTAAGTCTGTTTCCCTAATGAACAGAGGTATATAGAGGATGATGATTAGTTAAGTCTGTTCCCCTAATGAACAGAGGGATATAGAGGATGATGATTCGTTAAGTCTGTTTCCCTAATGAACAGAGGTATATAGAGGATGATGATTTGTTAAGTCTGTTCCCCTAAAGAACAGAGGTATATAGAGGACGATGATTCGTTAAGACTGTTCCCGTAATGAACAGAGGTATATAGGGGATGATGATTCGTTAAGACTGTTCCCCTAATGAACGGAGGTATATAGAGGACGATGATTCGTTAAGTCTGTTCTCCTAATGAACAGAGGTATACAGGGGACGATGATTGGTTAAGCCTGTTCCGCTAATGAACAGAGGTATATAGAGGATGATGATTAGTTAAGTCTGTTCCCCTAATGAACAGGGGTATATAGAGGATGATGATTAGTTAAGTCTGTTCCCCTAATGAACAGAGGGATATAGAGGATGATGATTCGTTAAGTCTGTTCCATAGGGGACAATGATTCGTTAAGTCTGTTCCCCTAATGAACAGATGTATATAGAGGATGATGATTCGTTAAGTCTGTTCTCCTAATGAACAGAGGTATATAGAGGACGATGATTCGTTAAGACTGTTCCCCTAATGAACAGAGGTATATAGGGGATGATGATTCGTTAAGTCTGTTCACCTAATGAACAGAGGTATATAGGGGGTGATGATTCGATAAGTCTGTTCCCCTAATGAACAGAGGTATACCGGGGATGATGATTCGTTAAGTCTGTACCCCTAATGAACAGAGGTATATAGGGGACAATGATTTGTTAAGTCTGTTCCCCTAATGAACAGAGGAATATAGAGGATGATGATTCGTTAAGTCTGTTCCCCTGAAGAACAGAGGTATATAGAGGACGATGATTCGTTAAGACTGTTCCCCTAATGAACAGAGGTATATAGAGGACGATGCTTCGTTAAGTCTGTTCCCCTAATGAACAGAGAGGATGATGATTCGTTAAGTCTGTTCCCCTAACGAACAGAGGTATATAGGGGACAATGATTCGTTAAGTCCGTTCCCCTAATGAACAGAGGTATATAGGGGACATTGATTCGTTAAGTCTGTTCCCCTAATGAACAGAGAGGATGATGATTCGTTAAGTCTGTTCCCCTAACGAACAGAGGTATATAGGGGACAATGATTCGTTCGTTAAGTCTGTTCCCCTAATGAACAGAGAGGATGATGATTCGTTAAGTCTGTTCCCCTAACGAACAGAGGTATATAGGGGACAATGATTCGTTAAGTCTGTTCACCTAATGAACAGAGGTATATAGGGGACAATGATTCGTTAAGTCCGTTCCCCTAATGAACAGAGGTATATAGGGGACGATGATTCGTTAAGTCTGTTCCCGTAATGAACAGAGGTATATAGAGGATGATGATTTGTTAAGTCTGTTCCCCTAAAGAACAGAGGTATATAGAGGACGATGATTCGTTAAGTCAGTTCCCCTAATGAACAGAGGTATATAGAGGATGATGATTCCAGTCGTTCGTTTGGACAAGGGAGACACATGCACAAACCTATTAGTTAAGTCTGTTGCTCTGATCTACAGAGGTTTGTAGAGGATGATGATTCCAGTCGTTCGTTTGGACAAGGGAGACACATGCACAAACCTATTAGTTAAGTCTGTTGCTCTGATCTACAGAGGTTTGTAGAGGATGATGATTCCAGTCGTTCGTTTGGACAAGGGAGACACAGGCACAAACCTATTAGTTAAGTCTGTTGCTCTGATCTACAGAGGTTTGTAGAGGATGATGATTCCAGTCGTTCGTTTGGACAAGGGAGACACATGCACAAACCTATTAGTTAAGTCTGTTGCTCTGATCTACAGAGGTTTGTAGAGGATGATGATTCCAGTCGTTCGTTTGGACAAGGGAGACACATGCACAAACCTATTAGTTAAGTCTGTTGCTCTGATCTACAGAGGTTTGTAGAGGATGATGATTCCAGTCGTTCGTTTGGACAAGGGAGACACATGCACAAACCTATTAGTTAAGTCTGTTGCTCTGATCTACAGAGGTTTGTAGAGGATGATAATTCGTTAAGTCTGTTCCTCTAATTAACTGAGATATATAGGGGACAATGATTCGTTAAGTCTGTTCCCCGAATGAACAGAGGTATATAGAGGATGATGATTCCAGTCGTTCGTTTGGACAAGGGAGACACATGCACAAACCTATTAGTTAAGTCTGTTGCTCTGATCTACAGAGGTTTGTAGAGGATGATAATTCGTTAAGTCTGTTCCTCTAATTAACTGAGATATATAGGGGACAATGATTCGTTAAGTCTGTTCCCCGAATGAACAGAGGTATATAGAGGATGATGATTCCAGTCGTTCGTTTGGACAAGGGAGACACAGGCACAAACCTATTAGTTAAGTCTGTTGCTCTGATCTACAGAGGTTTGTAGAGGATGATAATTCGTTAAGTCTGTTCCTCTAATTAACTGAGATATATAGGGGACAATGATTCGTTAAGTCTGTTCACCTAATGAACAGAGGTATACCGGGGATGATGATTCGTTAAGTCTGTACCCCTAATGAACAGATGTATATAGGGGATGATGATTCGTTAAGTCTGTTCCCCTAACGAACAGAGGTATATAGGGGACAATGATTCGTTAAGTCTGTTCACCTAATGAACAGAGGTATATAGGGGACAATGATTCGTTAAATCTGATCCCCTAAAGAACAGAGGAATATAGGGGCTGATGATTCGTTAAGTCTGTTCCCCTAATGAACAGCGGTATATAGGGGACAATGATTCGTTAAGTCTGTTCACCTAATGAACAGAGGTATACCGGGGATGATGATTCGTTAAGTCTGTTCCCCTAACGAACAGAGGTATATAGGGGACAATGATTCGTTCGTTAAGTCTGTTCCCCTAATGAACAGAGAGGATGATGATTCGTTAAGTCTGTTCCCCTAACGAACAGAGGTATATAGGGGACAATGATTCGTTAAGTCCGTTCCCCTAATGAACAGAGGTATATAGGGGACATTGATTCGTTAAGTCTGTTCCCCTAATGAACAGATGTATATAGAGGATGATGATTCGTTAAGTCTGTTCACCTAATGAACAGAGGTATACCGGGGATGATGATTCGTTAAGTCTGTACCCCTAATGAACAGATGTATATAGGGGATGATGATTCGTTAAGTCTGTTCACCTAATGAACAGAGGTATATAGGGGACAATGATTCGTTAAGTCTGTTCACCTAATGAACAGAGGTATATAGGGGGTGATGATTCGATAAGTCTGTTCCCCTAATGAACAGAGGTATACCGGGGATGATGATTCGTTAAGTCTGTACCCCTAATGAACAGAGGTATATAGGGGACAATGATTCGTTCGTTAAGTCTGTTCCCCTAATGAACAGAGGCATATAGAGGACGATGATTCGTTAAGTCTGTTCTCCTAATGAACAGAGGTATATAGGGGACGATGATTCGTTAAGTCTGTTCCCGTAATGAACAGAGGTATATAGAGGATGATGATTCCAGTCGTTCGTTTGGACAAGGGAGACACATGCACAAACCTATTAGTTAAGTCTGTTGCTCTGATCTACAGAGGTTTGTAGAGGATGATGATTCCAGTCGTTCGTTTGGACAAGGGAGACACATGCACAAACCTATTAGTTAAGTCTGTTGCTCTGATCTACAGAGGTTTGTAGAGGATGATAATTCGTTAAGTCTGTTCCTCTAATTAACTGAGATATATAGGGGACAATGATTCGTTAAGTCTGTTCACCTAATGAACAGAGGTATATAGGGGGTGATGATTCGATAAGTCTGTTCCCCTAATGAACAGAGGTATATAAGGGGACAATGATTCGTTAAGTCTGTTCCCCTAATGAACAGGGGTATATAGAGGATGATGATTCGTTAAGTCTGTTCCCCTAAAGATCGGAGGTATATAGAGGATGATGATTCGTTAAGTCTGTTCCCCTAATGAACAGAGGTATATAGAGGACGATGATTCGTTAAGTCTGTTCCCCTAA